ATCTTGGCTTGCGGATCACCCGGGACAGAGCACAGCGCACCATCACCTTGACTCAGTCACACATGGTGCAGCAGGTCCTTCAGCGCTTCCGCTTCACGTACTCCTCGCCTCAGCCCACTCCTCTGCCTACCGGTCACTCGCTCTCAGCTCTGCCTTCGGATGAGTCCGTAGAGCCGAGTGGCCCGTATCCAGAGCTTGTGGGCTGCCTCATGTACCTGATGACCTGCACTCGACCTGACCTTGCATACCCTCTTAGCATCCTAGCACGCTATGTCGCTCCTGGCCGTCACCGGAAGGAGCACATGGATGCCGCTAAGAGGGTGTTGCGCTACTTGTGCAGTACGTCGGGCATGGGGCTTGTGCTTGGAGGACGGCGCGACGTTGTCCTCACTGGACACTCAGACGCTTCTTGGGCTGACGACCAGGCTACTCAGCGGTCGTCTCAGGGTTACACCTTCAGCCTTGGCTCTGGCTCAGTTTCTTGGCGTTCTACACGCTCGTCTTCAGTTCTCAGCTCCAGTTGTGAGGCTGAGATCTACGCCACAGCCATGGCTGCACAGGAGCTACGCTGGCTCACCTACCTGCTGACCGACCTGGGAGAGCGGCCTCGTTCTCCTCCAGTGCTGTACGTCGACAACAAGGCCGCCCTTGCCTTGTGTCAGGAGCACAGACTGGAGCATAGAACGAAGCACATCGCTCTGCGCTACTTCCTTGCTCGAGAGCTGCAGCAGCGTGGTCAGCTTCATCTTACCTACGTGGCCACTCGGGCCAACACTGCTGATGTGTTCACCAAGGCGCTTCAGCCTTGTGATCATCAGCGTTTCTGTACTGTTCTAGGCCTTGTGCCTACTCTCCCTCACTTGCTCACTTCTTGACTCTGCTTGTACTGTGATCTCTATATATATACCTGCATGCTTACACTTGCTAGGTTGTGATCACTGTACCTCTTGTTATATTATCAAACTGCATGTGAACTGGTTTTGTGACCACTTGCTTGTGCTCGGAATTTGTGTGGTATCCTTGAGATCCACCCTGAGCTTGTTTTGCTTTGCCTTGCTTTGACTGGTCTTGTGACCCCTTGCTCTCCCCCACTTAGCCTATGGGGGTGTGTCAAACATTATATGTTTACATTGTGTAGGCTATAGTGGGTTTAGCCTTAGGGGGTACAACAAACTTAGGGTTTCCTACTTGTACCCAACTTTCTGCTAGTTCATTTCATTCTCGTTCATCCTTAGTTTCTAACAAGTCACCTTCTGAGTCAACTCAAAAGTCAAAAGTCACCTTCTGAGTCGACTCAAAAGTCAAAAGTCACCTTCTGAGTCGACTCAAAAGTCAAAAGTCACCTTCTGAGTCAACTCAAAAGTCGAAAGTCAACTTTTGAGTCAACTCAAAAGTCGAAAGTCACCTTCTGAGTCAACTCAAAAGTCGAAAGTCACCTTTTGAGTCGACTCAAAAGTCACAAAGCTCACTCGACATCCTGCCCAAGGTATCTGACCTGAGTCGTCTGTGACATCTTGGCCTATGTTCCGTGTGTTTCTTCTCTCAAGTGCTTCTATACAAGACCCATCCTGTCACTGCTGCACGTGTGAATACATACATGTGTGGCGAGCTCTCACACATGGGTGCAAGCTCTCAGCTGAGCTGCTGGGGTGCGCCGTTACCTAGCGCATTAGCTTCAGTTTCGGCCCCTTCACAAACTTAGAAGCATATTTTGAAGCACACAGGGATCTTGATACTCAGTTATCCTGGTTACCCTACCCCTGCCCCCTTTTCCCCCCTTCTCTCCCCTACGTCCTACCCGTCTCCTTCCCCATCGCCCCTTTCCTGGATACCAGCTCGATCGCCGGTTCTTCTCCGTGTTCATGAAACTGGCGACAGCACACACGACAGAGTCCAGATCGCTGGTGGATTTGGAGTGTATGTTTTTTTAGAATTCTCAAAAGAACATACACGCCAGAGTCCAGAGCGCTGGCGGATTTTGGTCATGCATTTCACAAAGGAGTGACTTGGTGTCACGCCTTTCTGTTCTCCCCTCCTCGTCTCCCTCATCCCTGGATACCAGCTCAACAAACCGTTCTTCTCCGTGGGCACGAAACTGGTGACGGCACGCACGCCCGAGTCGAGAGCGCGCGTGGATTTGGTGATGCACTTCTCAGAGGAGAGACTTTTGTGTCCACTCAACAGTCCCTTTCCCGTCGCCCTTCCCTGGACGCCAGCTCGACCGGCGGTTCTTCTCTGTGGGTACGAAACTGGTGACGGCACGCACTCCGGAGTCGAGAGCGCGCGTGGATCTGGTGATGCACTTTTCAGAGGAGTTCATGCAGCAGATGGTTGGCAGCTCGTCTCAGAAAGACCTGCTGCACCTGGTGAGTAGAGCAGCAGTGCAGCATGTACATGTAGGCTCACATGGCTGGTGAGAGGTTGGTGACAGCACACACGCCAGAGACCAGGGCGCGCGTGGATCTGGTGATGCAATTCTCACGGGAGTTCATGCAGCAGGTGGTTGGCAGCTCGTCTCAGAAAGACCTGTTGCACCTGGTGAGTAGAGCAGCAGAGTAGCAATGCAGCATAATTTGCATGTGCATGTGGACACACATGAAGCAGTCTTTAGCACTGGTGGTGCAGCATTGCAGCACGCACTAGCACTGACTGCTGCAGCGGCTCTCCGGAACTGAATCTGAGGGGCAACGACACAACAGCCACATGCAGCCAGGCGGCTGGTGGAACGCATCACTGGCTTGGAGGCATGCACGTTTAGATAGGTTATTTTTGAGACGTCTCAAAAATAACCGCCACTGTTCTCAAAAATAACCTATCTACACGTGGCGTCTCAGACACAACCGCCACATGCTGCCAGGCGGCTGGTGGAACGCAGCACATGCTTGGAGGCATGCATGTGTAGATAGGTATGCACGCAGCACTGGCTTTTTGAGATGTCTCAAAAATAACCTATCTACACGTGGCGTCTCAGACACAACCGCCACATGCTGCCAGGTGGCTGGTGGAACGCAGCACATGCTTGGAGGCATGCACGTGTAGATAGGTATGCACGCAGCACTGGCTGGCTTTTTGAGATGTCTAAAAAAAAACCTATCTACACGTGGCGTCTCAGACACAACCGCCACATGCTGCCAGGCGGCTGGTGGAACGCAACACATGCTTGGAGGCATGCACGTGTAGATAGGTATGCACGCAGCACTGGCTTTTTGAGATGTCTAAAAAATAACCTATCTACACGTGGCGTCTCAGACACAACCGCCACATGCTGCCAGGTGGCTGGTGGAACGCAGCACATGCTTGGAGGCATGCACGTGTAGATAGGTATGCACGCAGCACTGGCTTTTTGAGATGTCTCAAAAATAACCTATCTACACGTGGCGTCTCAGACACAACCGCCACATGCTGCCAGGTGGCTGGTGGAACGCAGCACATGCTTGGAGGCATGCACGTGTAGATAGGTATGCACGCAGCACTGGCTTTTTGAGATGTCTAAAAAATAACCTATCTCCACGTGGCGTCTCAGACACAACCGCCACATGCTGCCAGGTGGCTGGTGGAACGCAGCACATGCTTGGAGGCATGCACGTGTAGATAGGTATGCACGCAGCACTGGCTTTTTGAGATGTCTAAAAAATAACCTATCTGCACGTGGCGTCTCAGACACAACTGCCACATGCTGCCAGGTGGCTGGTGGAACGCAGCACATGCTTGGAGGCATGCACGTGTAGATAGGTATGCACGCAGCACTGGCTTTTTGAGATGTCTAAAAAATAACCTATCTGCACGTGGCGTCTCAGACACAACCGCCACATGCTGCCAGGTGGCTGGTGGAACGCAGCACATGCGTGGAGGCATGCACGTGTAGATAGGTATGCACGCAGCACTGGCTTTTTGAGATGTCTAAAAAATAACCTATCTACACGTGGCGTCTCAGACACAACCGCCACATGCTGCCAGGTGGCTGGTGGAACGCAGCACATGCTTGGAGGCATGCACGTGTAGATAGGTATGCACGCAGCACTGGCTTTTTGAGATGTCTAAAAAATAACCTATCTACACGTGGCGTCTCAGACACAACCGCCACATGCTGCCAGGTGGCTGGTGGAACGCAGCACATGCTTGGAGGCATGCACGTGTAGATAGGTATGCACGCAGCACTGGCTTTTTGAGATGTCTCAAAAATAACCTATCTGCACGTGGCGTCTCAGACACAACCGCCACATGCTGCCAGGTGGCTGGTGGAACGCAGCACATGCTTGGAGGCATGCACGTGTAGATAGGTATGCACGCAGCACTGGCTTTTTGAGATGTCTCAAAAATAACCTATCTGCACGTGGCGTCTCAGACACAACCGCCACATGCTGCCAGGTGGCTGGTGGAACGCAGCACATGCTTGGAGGCATGCACGTGTAGATAGGTATGCACGCAGCACTGGCTTTTTGAGATGTCTAAAAAATAACCTATCTACACGTGGCGTCTCAGACACAACCGCCACATGCTGCCAGGTGGCTGGTGGAACGCAGCACATGCTTGGAGGCACGCACGTGTCAGTTTTTAGAAGTGACATATGTATACCGGACTGGCTCGTGTTGGCTCTGCAAGTACCCGTCTTAGTCGTGAGACGTCTCAAGACTGAATCGTGTCAATTCTGCGACTGGCCGCCTTGAAGCGTCTCAATACTGACTCAACTGAGTTGTCGAACTTCCTTTTTCACGTTCTTCCACCCTCCTTGTGTTCGCAGGAGTACGTGCAGTATCTGTCGGAACCAGGGGCACAGCAGGTGCCACACGCTTCTAACGGACATTTGAACTCAACTAGCCAGCTCCACTCATGCCGGACCCACTGGTGTTAACCGTGTACCTCCTCATTCCCCTGCACCCATCTTCCGTGCCTCCCTCCTTGTGCTTTCACGAGTACGTGCTGTATCTGTTGGAGCCAGGGGCACTGCAGGCGCCACACTCTGCCAGTGGGCATTTGGATTCAACTAGCAACCCCTACTCATGCTGGATGCACTCGTGCTAACTGTGTACCTCCCCTTTCCCCTCCACCCATCCCCCATCCCGCCCTCCTGGTGCTTGCAGGAGTACGTGCAGTATCTGTCAGAGCCAGGGGCACTGCAGGCGCCACATACTACCAGCGGGCATTTGAACGCCGTTTGGACGCACAAGCTGACCCGGGACAACATTGACAGCATCTGCAGCGCTCGCATCCCCACCGCTGTAATTCATGGAGTGTGAGTGTCTCTTTCTATATTGTGTGAACTCATAAAATGGCCAAGCCACTACTTGTTGTCTGTCTGTGTATTGAGATGTCTCAAAACTCCCCACTACTGTAATCCATGGAGTGTGAGGGTCTCTTTCTATGCCGTGTGAACTCATAAGGTGGCCAACCCATAAACTTGCTGTCTGCCTTCCAGGATTTTTTTTTTTTTTTTTTTTTTTTTTTTTGCTAGGTGCCCGACAATAATGGCTCAATTTCTTTTGCAGACACATAATTCCTGCTAAGCGCGCACTAGCATGGACTGACCTGCTTCTCTCCCCTTCCTTCTCGCTCCCTTCTCCCCTCCTCCCTGCAGGGACGACATTGTAGCACACGTCTCCCTGGGAGAGAAGGTGGCCAAGCGCCTGGCACCCATAGCGCGGTTCATCCTGCTTCTAGGGGCGCACATGCTGGTGCGAGAGCGGATCGAAGAGGTGAACGCATGTCTGGAAGAGTTGTTTCAAGCCGCAGAGGCATGTGTGCCTGTGGAGCAGTGGGTGCAGCGTCGCAGCGATGTGTACCTGCCTGAATCGGCGCGGGAGCGGCATGGGAAGGCCGAGGAGAGGAAGCTTGTGACGCAATTTAGCCACGGTGCTGCTCGCTCTCCTTTTCCCTTTTTGGGTTCACTCAATTAGGTTCACTCGATTGGCTATCTCCTTTTCTTTCCTTTTCATTTCCTTTTCTTTCCTTTTCATTTCATTTCATTTCCTTTTCTTTTCCTTTTCTTCCACATTGCCTTAGTATAAAACATTCATGCTGTGTGGTTCTTCTTCTTCCTGGTTTGCTGTCGCTCTTTGTGTTGTGTTCCATGCTATGGTGTGTGTTGCAATGTGCCCCATTGTTCTCTGATTCTCTGTCCCCTCTGTCCTGACATGTTTTTTTGCTCTGTTGCTGTCTTTCTACTGTTCTTGTACCTACATTGCCCTATCACCCTGAACCCAAAGCCCTTCCTGCCCCTGCTGCATCAATCAGACCATCTAGATTGGAACCTAATGCATCTGCAGCTGCCACATTGCCCCTTCTCGCTCCTGCCGTACCCACAATAGTGGTTCGTGGTTGAGGCTGATGAAGATACTGCTGTTAAAAATGGTGCTCTCCATATACTGCCTCTCCATCAAGCTCCATGGATGCAGAGACGAATAAACGGCCAAGATGATCTGGCCCACGGTGTTCAATGGCGTAAAGCTAACCATGAGTTTGTTAGTGTTGAAAATGTGTGCGCAACCTATATATGATGATGGTCAAGATGAAAATAGAGAATAGAAGTTTTACCACTATCGTTCGAACAACGTGGATCTTTGGCAGAAGTAGCCCGTTGTGTGTTTCTTTGTCGTCGCTTTGCTTACAATTTACGTTTGTGTGTAAAGACAACACCAGGCAGTAACTGTTCCATGTAATTATTTGAAACTATAGACGCCGACCAGTTTTACCCCGATCCTGGTTTTTGATCCGTTTATCGGCTGTGGTGGGCATACCTACCTACCCTAGAGAGTTCAAAACGGTAACTCTAACGTGTGCCTGACGGTTTGCGGGCCAAACCGACAGCAGCATTGGTCACCATGTCGGCCGCAACGTTGTCTTTCGTGCGGCTCGACGTTAAAGCCGGATCGCCTTACTGCTCCCTGTTCCCAACCTCTTCGTTTACCCCAAAACCCGCGAACGTCAAATCACGCGTTTCCACATTCTCGCGATCCGCTAGCCACGTCAGCAGCCGACGACCAATCAGGAGGGTTGGAGTGGTTGCGATGGCGTCGCCACGGGGAGCGGGGTCGGGGTCGAATCTGGAGGACGCGGCGCGGCAGCTGGTGAGGGACTAATGACGGTTTAAAGGTTAGGATGCAATGAGGACTAATGACGGCGAAACGTTAGGATTTAATTAGAGATGTAGATGTAGGAAGTGTTACGCATGCAACCGACGACCTTTCCTCCTCTTCGTAACCGGTATGCCTGCAACCACTTTTTAAGGAACTTAGAAACCTTTCCTGCTCCTAACAGACGTTGTTTCGTGTTGCTCTCGAGCTTCTGCGGCCGCATTCCTCCATCAATCTCTCCCCTCCCCTCATTCCTATTTCCCAAAATTTCCGCAGCACCCTGGCCTCTCCCCCCCTCCTCACCCCTCCTTCCCGTTTCCCGTTTCCTTCCCCCCGCCCCTCCTTCCCCTCCCCCGACCTCCCTCACCCCCTCTCTTCTTTCCCTCCCCCTTCCCATCCTTCCGCTTACCCCTCCCCTCCCCCCCCCACACACCCCTCCTTTTCCCCTCATCCAGCCATCCAGCATAACCTCATCTTCTCCTCTCACTTCCCCGTCTTTTCATGTTTATCTCAATTAATGTGACAACATCCTCTCACCACTATCCCGTCTCCTCTCTCCCCTTTCCCGTTTACCTCAATTCCCCTCATTCGGCCGCCCAGCTTCCCTCATCTTCTCTTCTCCTCTCACTCATGCCGCCTTTTATTAAAAAGGCAACTCGTGCTGCATAGGAAAGGAGTAAAAAAGCTGCCAAAAAAATAACACAAAACACTTCCTTTTTCTCTTCTTTTTTTTTTGGGTTGCTGCTGCTCGACCTCCGTTTCTTTCAGGTGGACGATTTTGTCCGTAGTGGCATGGTGGTGGGAGTGGGGTCAGGCTTCGGCTCCTCTCTTGCAGTCACCCACCTCATCAGCAAGATCCAGAGCGGATCACTGCGAGATATTATCGCCGGGCCCACGTAAGCTCAAGTTCATGGTTTATTATTTCTAAGAATCCTTAAGAGGTGTCATTGCTACCACACACTTGGGCTCGTTTCTCGCAGTCACGCACCTCATCAGCAAGATCCAGAGCGGATCGCTGCGAGATATTATTGCCGTTCCCATGTAAGCTCAACTATTGCGCTATGAGGCGTCAGCAAGTTTTTTTTTTTGGGTTGCGAAGCAACCTATTACGATCGATTTGGGCAGTTTTTTTTTTTTTGGCACATTTTATTTATTTTAAATAAAATATGAAAAAAAAATGGATGCACTAGTTGCTAGCTGCGTAAACTGTAGGAGGTCCTGTCTAGTTCAATTATACTAACGTGGTGGTACCAATTTTTTTAGACAACTAAATTATTTCTGTGATTTACTTTGCTATGATTTACTACCGTATAATATGCACATAATATGATGAGATGAATATAATGATCGGTGAATGTATATGAATATAATGATATTTTATGAAATACGATATATTGTTGTCAGAATGTTATAACTATCTAGCCTGCAGTGGGGTACTCCATAGTGAGTACAGCCCAATTAGGGTTTGCTATATGTATCCAACTGCTTGCTAGTGAAACCTCCTCCTTTCTTCATTCTTGTTTCTACCTGCTAGTTCTGACATGGTTTCAGAGCAGGTCGACCCCCTTGGGTTGATCCTGTGGGTGGGCCCACCACCTAATGCTTCCGCTGCTTTACTTCCTGGCGTTTTTCATCCCGCCGTGCGCTCGGGGCGCGCGGCGGTTTTCTGCCCGCCGAGTGCCCCGTGGCGCGCGGCGGTTCTCTGCATGGCGCGCGCCCCCCGTCGGCTCTCGCGCTGCCCCGCTGGACCCGCGCGCGGCACCCCGTCGACCCTCGCGTCACCTCCAGGGACCCGCGCGCGACCCCCGTCGACCCTCGCGTCGCCCCCGGGGACCCGCGAGCCGCCCCTGGAGCCGTACGCGACCCCCTCGCTGCCCCGTCGCGGCGCCCTGGGGGGCCGCGCGCGGCCCCTCGCTGCCCCATGGTGGCGCCCTGGGGGCCGCGCGCCTTCCCCCTCGCCGTCCCCCGCGCTCCTTCCCCGTGCCACCCGTTTTAGGGTTTGGGGGTGGGGAGTGTGGGGGTGGCGGCTGTGGGGGTGCCGGTTGTGTGCGCCGTCCCCTACTCCTCCTCCTCCTCCGTCTCCCGCTGCTGCAGCTGCCGCTCAGGGGGGTGGATGTGTGGGGAGCCGAAGGCGTGGTGCTAGGGGGGTGATGTGGGAGTGGAGCTAGGGGTGAAACTGGGGGTGTGTGTAGGGGGGTGTGGGACAGTTGGGGGAGGTTGAGTGGAGGCAGCCGTCGTGTCGTCCGCAGCGCCTGTATTCCGGGGCCCTTGTCGCCGGTAGCTCAGAGAGCCTGCTGCACCTGTTGCCCGTGGGTCCGTTGCTCCTGCCGCTCGTCGCAGCCGCAGAGCCTGTTACTCCTGTATTCCGGGGCCCTTGTCGCCGGTAGCTCAGAGAGCCTGCTGCACCAGTCGCCCGTGGGTCCGTTGCTTCTGCCGCTCGTCGTAGCCGCAGAGCCAGTTACTCCAGTAGTCCGGGGACCTTGCCTCGGTAGCTACTGTGTGAGCCGCCACTGTGTCAGCCGCTTCTGTTGCCCGTGTGTCTGCAGCTTCAGTCGTCGCCTCCCATCTTCTCTCCTCTCACAGTCCCTCCTCCTCACTTGCCCTCTGTGATAGCCTCTAGCTTTGCTGATAATTGTGAACTATTGCACTGCCTGCTCATTGTACTGATTACACCCCACTTTGGCTATGGGGGTGTGTCAGAATGTTATAACTGTCTAGCCTGCAGTGGGGTACTCCATAGTGAGTACAGCCCAATTAGGGTTTGCTATATATATCCAATTGCTTGCTAGTGAAACCTCCTCCTTTCTTCATTCTTGTTTCTACCTGCTAGTTCTGACAATTGTGTATGATATGATATGATAAATGATAAATGCATGTCTTATGTTCGATACGAATAATGCTTACATTTTACTGACAATCTATGATGCATATTTATAATGATAAAGATGCGTGAAAGCTAACGACCCAAAAACTATGCTACCGCATCCCCCGCCTAGCATGTCGGGGAGTTGATAGCATAATCTTTGAACAATCAGCAGTCACATGAGACAACACAATCTGTGAACTCTAAAAAGATGGTCAACTCTATCATCTCCAGTTCAAGTGGGCTCCCGACAGGCGCGCCAATGAACCTTCTAATGAAATGATAGACCTGATTCACCTTTTTGAAACTCACAGACATGCATTGCTATTGCAATGATGATAAGGGTAAATAAAAATGGATGGATGCACACATGCACACACATACCCACACATACATACCAGACGCATACGCACACGCAATTAAACCGACAATCTAATAAAAATACAAGGCACATGAGCGGACACAAAAAAAGCCCCTACAAGTCACCACTAGTCACTTTTCAGTTCCGACTTATACTAGAATGAAACAGCAATAACCTGAAAAGTACAAAATAGAGAAAAACAGAGAGGGGAAAGGGGAACATAGTATTTTTGCAGATTTATATTATGAAATAAGGAACCAGAAAAACAAGCATGTGATGAAAGGGGAGGAAGGCAAAGAATGACATAAGTTAGAACAACATGCATTCAAGGAAGGGAACAAAATGAAAAACGAAAAAACAAATCTTAGAAAGAACAACAACAGAAAATCTTAGGAAGGAACAACAACTACGATGCACGTAGGCGAGGGAGAAATAACCGAGATAGGAAAAGGGAAAGCAGTGGATAACACGAAACGTGAGGGAAAAACAGACAAACAGAAAAACAGGTTCAAGGAAGGAAGATAGGAGGGAACTGGAAACAAAGAAACTATGAAGAGAATGTGTGGTGAACAGATTGAAAAAAGTAACGGAAGCATACGAAGAACCGAGGAAATTATGCAATGCAAGGGAAAGAAATAAGAAAAGAACGAATGGCAAATAAATATTGGCATGCAACTCCAGTCTAACCTCTTAGATCAAGGCTCAACTCAACATAGGCTCTACATGACTACGTGTTGTGCAAGAATGCCTCTCGTAGTTGATAGTTATGGAAAATTATGGCAAAGGGGTTGAAAGGAAACGAAAAACAGGAGTCTAAATCCCACCAGATGTAATTCCTACTCTAAACTATCCATACAAAATAACAAGCAGAATGGACGAATGGAAGGACGAGGAAGAAAGAAGGTATGAGATACAGAAGCAATGAAAGATAAAGGTACAAGAAAAGGCCAAGAACGGGAACAAAGGTAAGAAAGAATGAAGAGACTTCGTACGTGTTTAACATAGATGGGTATTAGAAGCAGTAAGTCGACACTTGAAACTCACTTTAATGACCTGCGAACAAGGAAAAGTACAAGTCGAAGTTGGAAACAAGGAACAAAAAGCGCATTAACATAAGAGAACAAAAAGAAACGAGGAGGACAACGACGGGATTCAGAATAAAGGAGGAATAGTTAAACAAAAACGGAGATGGATCGTAGTAGTTAAGGAACAAAACTAAAAACGACTGAAATTTGAAGAGACTAGCAGGACGCGAGAGAGGCGGAATAGGGAGAGACGAACGGATGAGAAGGAGAGCTACTAGGAACAACATCGGTTAATATGTCTCCTAGTTCTAGTTAATAGCTTTAGCATAGGTTTCTCCTTACCTCTCAGTGGTAGGTAGGAGCGCGACTAACGGCAGTAAAGAAGGGTGGCGAGCGAGAGGAAACGGAGGGAGAGAAAGAGCAAAACAAACCCTAAGGAGGTTTTGATTTCGTCGCGTCGTTAATTGTTCTAATATTTTGTTTGAGAACAAGTGTCATCGGCTCTAGCGTAGTCGTTCGATATCGATTGCGCAAATGGAAGGTCGCTGGTTCTAATCCGCGGTAGATTTTGTAACATCGTTGAAATTGTGTGAAGTAACACTTTGATTTTCAAAATTGATAGTAATTGACACTTACTTTGATAAGTGAATAATACTTACCACAACTTGTACAATAACGAGTGTAGTCATGCAAAACGCTTCGCAACCCTAAGACGATTTCGTCGCCTCTTGTTTTTTTTTTTTTTTTTTTTTGCTTTGTTCCTTCACGCATAAATATGCTATAGAGCTACATATGTGCTGCATAACTGTATTGATGGTTGTGATAATGCTTGCATTGATGCTTGCATGGCAGCACGGCAGCAGCAGCCGCAGAGCTCGCGCAAGCAGGAGTTGTGATGTCAACCCTTGAGGAGCATCCCAAGGTACTCTCTCCCAGTATTAGTCACATTCAAAAGTTTGTCAGTGTTGCCCTGACATGTTATAATGTGGTTCGGAGGGACTTCTGTGTTATCTCTACTGTCGCCTCTCATATCCCACTCTCTTTTCTCCTTCATCTTCCCTCTGCTCTGCTCCCCCTTTTCCCCTCCCTCCCGCGCCCCTTCCCCTTTTCAACCGTACGGTACCTCTCAGCTCGATTTCGCCTTCACAGATGCAGACGTGGTGCAGGAGGGAACACTCTTCTCTACCATCCACACTCTTCCGTCTCCCTCCTCTCATCCCTCCTTTGTCTCCCAATTCCCTTTGACTACCCCCTCCTTTCCTCAGCTCGATTTCGCCCTCACAGATGCAGACGTGGTGCAGGAGGGAACGCTCTTCTCTATCATTGGTCGGCGCATTCCAACCAAACGAGGCTCGGTTCTCAAAGAGAAGGTGGGTGTTGAGGCGTCTCAAACCCAACCTTTATCACGTGAAGGAACTCTCTTCTCTATCATCGGTCGGCACATCCCCACCAAGCGAGGCTCGGTTCTCAAAGAGAAGGTGGGTGCGCTTGAGCAAAACACGTTGGGGGTTGGTGGGTGAGCAGGTGGGTGGGCGGGCAGTGACTGGGTGGGTAGGTAGTTGAGTATGTGGGTTGGATGGGTGGTTTCTGGGTAGCTGAGTTTCCTGAGGCACTGGGCCGTCTGCTGCTCGTACTGCTGCCAGGTGAATGTGGGGAGGGCCGAGGTAAGGTGGCTGTGGGGTGGGGAAACCAGGGGAGGTGCCACGTGGCGGTCTTCCATTTCATTTCACGCAAAATTGAATCAGTTCGGGTCAAACCTGATTTGACTGGTCATTTCCCCACCTCCATCTTCGCTCGTCGTTATCACGCATCACCGTCACGGGTCAAATCGCCGTGCACACTTCCTTTCTCGCTTCCATTCTTTCTCTACCAGCGTTATTATTCATTCACGCGCGGCGCGCCTGATTGCCTCAAGCTTTCGCGTGGCGTCCTCGCTTCGAGCACCTCCCCCTCTCTTCACATTTATATCTTCCTCCCAGTTCACACTCTTTCGCCGTTCGTTCGAATACCACAGTTTTCGTACCATCATGCCCCGGCTTCTGGCCTCACCGCATCTCACCGCTTCTCACGCCGCGTCACCGCCATTTCCGCCTTCCCGATTCTTCCAGTGGCGCGCTTCGAATGCGTCAGGCGGATGTCTAGGCGGAAAATGGGACGGCATTACTCTTACTCTCTGCCGCGACATTAGCTCGGGGGACGACTGGGGGAACCGCGGAAGACAAGGGAGCGCGGAGAGCTCTGCGGGGCGGAGTTGGGGGGAAGGGCGGAGCAGGCGGAGAGGGGTATGTTGCGCAACGGGGACAGGGGGCAAGGGATTCGGAGGGGGACAGGGGACTGGGGAAAGCGCAGGCGGGGCGAAAGGATATTGCGCGCCCGGCTCTCAGGTAGAAGGACTTGCTTTCCCTCGGAAGGTGAATTTCGTGCAGCTCCTTGTACTGTTCCGACGTGTAGCAATCGTCCAGCGAGTTTTGGTGCTGATCTTTGCCCTCTCTGCAGACATGCACATGGAACGCGATTAGGAATCGAAATTTCGAGATGAATGTTTGCCGAATGGGTGTGTTAATACTCATGCAACCTGCTTGTCGTGCAGCTGTTTCAGCTTGAGCTTCATGTACTCCCGCACTTCGCTGATGTAGTCATCCGCTTTGGACTTCGGGTAGCCGTAGAGTTGAGATTCAAGTCTGCCCAGGAAGCCCATAGCGCTCATCTTTGCCTTCATCATGCTCGGCGTACTAGGGATGGGGTCCTTCCCAGCCACCACTTCTTCGCCTCTCCGCATCGTTTCGGCCTGATCTGGGGTTTCGTCTGCCATGTACTGCAGGTATCTCTGAATCCTCCATCCAGAAACACGGGGCCCGTGGAGATGAACTTCCTCGGTGTTCACAGCTGACCATCCCTCCTTTCTGTCGTCCCCCAAATGGCTTCCAACCTCGTCTTGTGTCCTTAGACGCTCCCCATCCGGAACCTCAGCCTTGGGCAGCGTTTGCATGAACATGAGACCCACCACTTGTAGTGCTGCCAATATAGGATGTACTCTTTCCTGGTTTTGGGCACGAGATAATCGATAGGGGTCTTTACGCAGCGAATCTTGCTGTCCACCTCGGCCTTTTTCCGTACTGACTCATGCGTAGCTGATGCTGGCCCATCTGCATTTCTCTGAGGCGCAGCCTGTGATTCTTGCCCCTCTTCATTTCCTTGGGGCGCAGCCTGTGGTTCTTGCCCCTCTGCATTTCTCTGGGGCGAAGCCTGCGATTCGAGCACAGGTGCATTTCCTTGTGGTGATGCCTGTGATTCTGGGCCCTGGGCATTGCCTCGGTTCGCCTCCCCAAAAAGACTTCGACTGGTAGTGTTATCTTCAGAGGTTGGACTGCGGCTAGCATGTTCCTCCCAACTCTCTTCCCACGCCGCCCTGTGCTTGTCGTCGACATCGTCTCCGAGGTCAATCCACACCCCCGAACGCCTTTCGCCCCTCGGATTTGCGCCCTCAGCCACATTTCTCTCGACTCCGACAGGAGGGTTCGAGGCCGGAAATACTTGTGGAGCATCCACGAACACTTCTCCTGCCACTGCTGGTGCAAACTCCTCGTCCCAATCTTGGTCCCCGGTTAGATCTATCGGGGCATGCAGCAGTTGGCTGTCTTCGAGATAAAAAAACTGCTCATTGTCCTCGAAAAGTGCACTAAGCAAATTACCCGTACCACCATCGAACTCCATCACGGTGTACCCTTTTCAGAGGAATGTATGCTTCACATGATCCGCGAATGGTGTCCTGAATCGCTTTTGTTAGACAGGCGAAATCTATACCGGCGCGTAGAGAATGAGATGGACTGCCAGCGAACCCAGGAGTAGAAGAGAATGCTGTGCTGAAAAGAGTCTCGCGTGCGGATTTGTTTCGGGAACAAAAAACTATGATAATGACCCCCTGGCGTCGAGTACAATGCTGATCTGAAATGTATGCTTTTTTCAGAGTTGTTTTGCAGCTCGAAAATCCCTATACCTGTCAGAGTTTTGTTGTCCCTCTAAAATACCAACATTGTCCAGAGTACTAAACACATCACGGCGACGAGTGCGTGTGCGTGCATTTCGGAACGACGCAATGTATCATGCCATGTTGGGTTGTAGGTAAGAAAGCATGCATGGCTGATGAACTCAAGAAAAATGTGTTGAACCTTCAAGAAGCAATCAAGAAAATGGCATACATATGAGCCCTTTTGAAGCATTTTGGGGCTCAGCCAGAGGGGCACGAGCTCCACAATGCCTGACTGCATCCTCTCTTCCCGCCACAATTTCTCTAGATCTGGTCGCCACGCCCCAGATCTGGTGTTCTTCCCGCCCGTGTCAGAGCACCCGATTGGCTCCTCCATACTTGCGTAACTCTGAGCCACACCCCTCCCGCAGAGACGAGAGTGGCTCGGCCACGTGGATCACTATTGGCGCGCAATAGAAAAAAAATCGCTACAGCCGTTTTTCGATATGATTCCACAACACGGGAATGTGGGCATGTTCGAGTTTATATAAAACAGTCTTATATTGGATTTGCAGTTTTTACGAAACTAGTAAAAGCACTATGTCGCGATCGAAAAATCCGACAAAAAAAGGTTTTCTAGTGGTACCTAAACTGTTCCGCGTTTCCAGATTCCGGTTGCCATTGTGCTTAAAACAATCTGTTATACCGACGGTTGGACTTGTAGAGTATAAACCGGTGTGCAGATAAACAAGTTTCACCCTAAACATATTTCAAACACGAACCTCAGTATCGAGATTCTCGATACCGAAGTTTTCGCAAACTGGTTGCGACGTGGTCGCGCAGACCATGTCGCAACCGTTTGCGCGAAAGGTGCACGTCAATTTGACGGCTGCACCTTGACGCTGGCGAGAGCACGTGCCTCGCTAGCTACACTTCACGCACGAATCTGTTCGGGCAGAGAACTGGTTCACGGGCAGGCCGAGCCTAGCCCGTGGGGCGGTGGGGGTTGTCTTGCTTGGCGCAAGCTTGCGCCGCTTCCGCGTGGGCCTAGGCGAGTTCGACCAGACGAGCTCGACCTCCCTTTTTTCTCTGGCAAATCCGCTCGACCTGCGCCCACGACCACATAACTTCCCGTGGAGACACCCGCCAATTCAGGGCCAACCACCAGTTGCACAGCACATGCCCAACGTATGCCAAGCATGCAGCGCAATACGGTAACCTGATTCGTTGAGATTCGCCTAATGTGTACGTGATGTTTTCGCTGATCGCTCAACCTCGTTTGGTGTTGCATGCTGACCCGTGAAAGCGGTGAAATCTGAAACCGTTTCAGACCTTACTTCAACGTAATGCACCGAGAAAAACGAAACTGAATGAACAACTGTGGGATCCCCTTACATGTGACCATGTTTTGCGACAAGCGTATATCATTTTCGCCATACACACCTCCACCCCAACCCTGGTTTTCCACGTCCCCAGGTGGTAACGGCGTTGGGTTTTCTCTCTCGCAATCACTAAGCGGCCCTTTCACCCTAAGCAATGCTCGCACTTTCTCGACTGTTTCGTTCCACTTGCCTTCCTTCGTGAACCATGTAAGGAAGCTCGACTGCAGTCGCACCAATGTTTCGCATTCCTGGCTTGGCTGGTTTGTATTCACCAATCTCTTCTTGTGTAAAGGATCATGCCTTTAGAAGCGAATATACCTATCGTGGGCTGCGCATCGCTCACGGATCAGTGCGATTGGGCGGGAACGGCGGTCGCGCTGGGATATGATGGCGTCGCGTTTAACGTCTTTAAGGGGCCCAATAAGAAGGTCGAGTCGCGCGAGCGGTGCGGCGTGAAGGCGGTTCCGATGGACACTCTGCAGGCGACTCGCGAGAGAGTGCGGCTCGCCCTTAAAGGAGCACAAGTACGCTGGGGAGGGGCGGATGGGGACGGGGGGAAGAGGGATATTGGGAGGGGGAAGGGGAGGGAGAGGGGGGTGGGGAACGGGGAAGGGGAGGGGGAAGGGGACGGGGAAGGGGAGGGGGGAGGGGGGAGGGGGGAAGGGAGAGGGAAGGGGAGCGGGATGCGGTGACAGCAGCAGCCTACTATGTGGGACCCAATTCTGATGCAATGGCTGACCCATCCCTTCCCCTATCCCCATTTCGCCTTCTCTCCCACCTCACACCTCTACTCACTAAACCAGGCCCCATCGCATCCTGGCGTTCATCCCAACTCGTGCGCATCACAGCAGCAGCGGGGGAGGAGGAGGAGGAGGAGGAGGAGGAGGAGGAGGAGGAGGAGGAGGAGGAGGAGGAGGAGGAGGAGGAGGAGGAGGATGATGGTTACCCTGATGCCATCATTAACCCACCTGTAAACAATGTATTTTTGAGACGTCTCAAAAACTCGTGCGCATAGCACCAGCGGCGGAGGAGGAGGATGGCAGCCCTCATGCCATCACTAACCCACCTTTCCCCCTGCTCCCCTCTCTGTCTCTTCTCTTCTACTCCTGCCAAAGCAAGCCCCTTCCAAACAAAGTCCCTTCATTCACGCAGCTCGTGCACATAACAGCAGCGTTGGAGGAGCGGGTGGGAGAGCGCCAATCCCATATTTGACCCATCCCTTCCTCTTTTGAGACGTCTCAAAAGCGGGTGGGAGAGCGCCAATCCCATATTTGACCCATCCCTTCCTCTTTTGAGACGTCTCAAAAGCGGGTGGGAGAGCGCCAATCCCATATTTGACCCATCCCTTCCTCCACTCCCCTTTCCCCGCGTCCTCTCTCGTCTCTTCCTGAACCCACTTCTCAAACCACGCCCCTTGTAGACGAAGTCCCTTCATTCTCCCAGCGCGTCTGTTTGACAGCAGCGGTGGACGAGGATGGCCCTGATATGCCATCGCTAACCAGGCAATCCCACGCTACTCTCCCCTCTCTGTGTCTTCCATACGCCCCAACTCAAGCCCCTCTCCAGACTAACCTATCCTCCCCTCCTCCCCTCCCTCCCCCCCTGCTCTTTTGCACTCTCCCCTCCCTACTCTATGCTCCCCGGTCCAAGCCCTTTGTACATCAAGTCCCTTCATTCACGCAGCTCATCCGTGTGATAGCAGCAGCGGTGGAGAAGGGTGGCCTTGATGCGAACATTCACTCATCCCTACCCCTCTCCCGATTCTCCCCAATCCCCACTCTCCCCTGCTTCCCAAAGCAAGCCCCTTTTAGACGAAGCCCCCTCGTTCGCCCAGCTCGTGCGCGTGACAGCGGCGGTGGACGAGGGCGGCCCTAATGTGATAGCAGACTAAACTATCCCCCCCTCCCCCCACACACTCCCTGCCCTTATGCACTCTCCCCCCCCTTGCTATATACTCCCCGAACCAAGTCCCTTCTAGTCGAGAGCCCTTTTTTCGCCCAGCTCGTGCGCATAACAGCAGCGGTGGAGGAGGGCGGCCCTGATGTGATAGCAGAGCGCCTGCCCACAGTCGTGGGGATCGGATACGACCTGGCTGCAGTGCAGCCACTGAATAATGACAGCTTTCTGTCTGCCTGCTACAACAGCAAGGTGGGTATGCGTGTGAGCATAAACAGCCACTTGTGCGCATAACAGCAGCAGTGGACGAGGGCGGTCCTGACGTGATAGCAGAGCGCCTGCCCACAGTGGTGGGGATCGGATATGACTTGGCGGCCGTTTCACCGATGAGCAATGACAGTTTCCTGTCTGCCTGCTTCAGCAGCAATGTGTGTGTGGGTGTGTGCATCTTGGTATGTGTGCGTCTGGAAGTGGGTGCGAAGCCAACCAGAAGAGCGCCTGCCCACGGTGGTGGGGATTGGTTGGATATGACCTGACTGGCGGCCGTGCAGCCATTGAGCAATGACAGCTTCCTGTCTGCCTGCTTTAACAGCAAGGTGTGTGAATGTGGGTGCGTGCGTGTGCGTGTGCATGTGTGGGTGTGGGTGTGGTTGTGGGTGTGGGTGTGGGTGTGGGTGTGCGCATAACAGCAGCGGTGGACAAGGGCGGCCCTGACGTGATAGCAGAGCGCCTACCCACAGTCGTGGGGATTGGATACGACCTGGCTGCTGTACAACCATTAAACAATGACAGATTCTTGTCTGCCTGCTTCAACAGCAAGGTGTGTGTGGTGTTGGGGCGACGAAAGAGCGCCTGCCCATCGTGGTGGGGATGGTGGCCCACCGTGTGGGTGTGCGCATAACAGCAGCGGTGGACGAGGGCGGTCATGACGTGATAGCAGAGCGCCTGCCCACAGTCGTGGGGATTGGATACGACTTGGCGGCCGTTTCACCACTGAACAATGACAGCTTTCTTTCAGCCTGCTTCAACAGCAAGGTGCGTGTGTGCGTGGGTGTGTGGGTGTGTGCGTGTGCGTGGGTGTGTGGGTGCTGCGTGTGGGTGTGTGGGAGTATGTGTGCGTGCATGTGTGTGACAGCAGCGGTGGACGAGGGCGGCCCTGATGTGATAGCAGAGCGCCTGCCCACAGTCGTGGGGATCGGATACGACCTGGCTGCAGTGCAGCCATTGAACAATGACAGCTTCCTGTCTGCCTGCTTCAACAGCAAGGTGTGTGTGGGTGGGCGCCCTGACGTGATAGCAGAGCGCCTACCCACAGTGGTGGGGATTGGATACGACTTGGCTGCTGTTTCGCCGATAAACAATGACAGTTTCCTCTCCGCCTGCTTCAACAGCAAGGTGAGTCTGTGCGTCTGGTTGTGGGTGTGAAGATATGCCTAGTCCTGCCTAGTCCTGCCTAGTCCTGCCTATAGTCCTGCCTAGTCCTGCCTAGTCCTGCCTAGTCCCGCCTAGTCCTGCCTAGTCCTGCATGGTCCTGCATGGTCCTGCATAGTCCTGCATGGGTACCTGCCTTGATATTGCACTATGTGTACCTGCTCCTTGATCGCTTTGCTTCTCTCCCCTCCTTCTCCCCCTTTCTCCCCACCCTTTTCCCGCATCATTAGCTGGCTGGCTGTGCGTTTCCTGTCAAATGCACACAAAATACAATTCACCTTCCATTTCTCCCACCTAACAGTTACCGTGTTTCCCTCAACTACCCTCTTCCATCACTTTCCCTTCCATGCCCAACCATCACCCCGTTCCTTGCCCTCATCCCCCCCCCACCCACACTCACAGGCTGACATTGTTTCTCTCGATGTGTCCCACTTCGTTCGTACCAACCCAACTTTCCCCCTCCCCCTTACATCCCCCTGCCCCATCCCCCCCCCCCCCCCCCCCCCCCCCCACGCTCACAGGCTGACATTGTTTCTCTCGATGACTTTTGAGGCGCCTCAGAAGTCGTCTCGCGTTTTGAGTCGACTGAAAACAGAACTCGTCTCTCTACCCGCAATGTCTATATTCCACTTCCCCATGCTCACAAGTCGGCATTGATTCTCTTGACGTTCCCCCTCTTCATGCCAAGCCGACCCTCCCCTTCCATCGCACACTCCCATTCTTCCATTCATCCCCCTCTACCTCCCCCTTCCCCTTCCCCCTCTTCTCCCATTCGCTCACAGGCAGACATCATATCTCTCGACGTTTCCCATTTTGTATCAAGCCGACCCTCCCCTTTCTTCGCACACCCCCATCCTACTAATCCCCCTTCCTGTCCCTCCCATGCCCATCCCTCTCCCCATCCCCTCCACCCGCAACGCTCACAGGCAGACATCATATCTCTCGACGTTTCCCACTTTGTACCGAGCCGACCCTCCCCTGCCGCCATTAAAGCAGTGATGCAGGTGATGGTGGTGTTGGTGATGTTAGTGCTGCTAATAGTAGTGTCATTGGTGGAAATGGTACGTGCCGCTCATGCATTGCCGAGCCGCCCTTCTTTTGCCGCCGTCAAAACAGTTATGATGGTGATGGGGATGGTGATGGTGATGGGGATGGGGATGGTGATGGTGATGGTGATGGTGATGTTGATGGTGATGGTGATGGTGATGGGGATGGGGATGGGGATGGTGATGGTGATGGTGATGGTGATGGTGGTGGTGGTGGTGGGGATGATGGCAGTGGTGGGGATGTTACTGGTGCGTACACTGTTTTGTGGCAAGGCGAAGAAAGAGATCACAAAAGGAATAAGAGCCCCCCATCTCTAGAGATGCGCGCATACAAGCCACTGTTTTTCCCTTCTCTACGCTGGATGTCTCCGTTCGCCCCACTTGTTTGCATCACGATCGTATATGGTTCTCTCACGTGCGCACCATTTTCTCCCAGGCTGGTCGGGTGTTTGAATTCTGCTATGGACCTGCCTTAAAGGATCGCTCCTTACTAACTCCCTTGTTACAAGGCATCAAGGTGAGTTGATCGATCAAGGTGCTATGGCGCTCATTTGCTAACTTTCTTTTGGATTTTCTGGTGTTCGGGTGCAATATTATAATATCGGTTGATTGTTATTATGAGTTCCAGACAGCTTATGTCAAATTTGCAGCTCCTGTCACCATTTAATGCAACACATGTCTGAAGTTCTGATACGCATTTGGACATATGTGTACATGTATTTGTGTACACTTAGAGGTCATGCACCTATGTTTGTTCTCATTTTACTGCATTGGAGATGTTTGAATTAGGATAGTCTTTCACAAATGTTTTATCCTATTGATTTGCTTCTGTCCCATATGCCAGAAGGTTTTAGAGGTGACACGTGGCAAGAGCTTGATCCTATCATGTGGTGCCACATCAGCATGGCAGCTGAAAAGGCCTGCTGACGTGGCGGCCTTGCTGACATTGGCCGGACTGACACGTCATCAGATACGCGTTTTCTTGGCTGTCACTCCCAAGTAAGTGTAGCCACTCTTCTTAACCAGAAGTGCTAAATGAAGCCGCCTTTGATAAAAAGTGGTAAGTGGTACCCTCTTAAAGAAAATTTCCATTGTAATGTCCTTAGGTAAGTAAGTATTCTGGCTATAGCCGCAAACTACTATTTGACCGATGCTGAATTATACCAATGCTGAAATTCTCTTGCCTAAACAGCACTTGCTGGTGTTTCTTAATCACACCAATTTTTGGTTCCTTTTGTCTTTTCCAGGAAGCTGCTGGCTCGTGCAGAGGCAAGGAGGCAGCAGAACCAACAGCAGCGGTTGTGTGCGACAATCCACCTATCCACGGCATCACCAGCATCACAAGTATGTCTACAACTTCTCACACGTGTATATGTATATATATCTACACACATACATACATAAATAAAACATTCTTTTGTGTAACGATCCACCTATCCACGGTGTAACCAACACCACGAGTATGCCAGCTTGTAAAAAACATCTCGTAATCTATATGAAAAATAAGCTCTTCCTTTGCATCGATTGCATAAGGTACTATACATACATCATCTGTGTTATTTCAGTATCTTCATAATCTACCTAGCTAATGTACTAGGTTGCCACATCCACGATTGTCACTCCATCTATCCCCCTCGTTCACACCCAAAAGCTTCTTTCCCCCTTCATTCCTCACACTTTCCATCTCTCTTCTCACCCCCCTCCTTCCTCTTGCTGTTTTCAATCCATTTTACCCCCATTTTATCCCTCATCTCTTCCCCTTGGTTTCCTTTCCTCTCCCTCCCTCTACTGTTGCACCCAAAAAATGCAGTTACCACCAGTGTTTTGTTTTTGCGTTTGATTCCCTCCTTCCTTTCTCCCACACCCCATCACTGTTATGTTAGAATCTAGAGACAGGAATAAATGAACTAGGAAAGTGTTGGGTACAAGTATGAAACCCTAAAAGGGGCTGTACCCCATATTGGCTACCCCACTACAGCCTAAACATATATAGCATGTATATACTTTGACACACCCCCATAGGCAAAGTGGGGGAGAGCAAGGGGTCACAAGACCAGTCAAGAGAAGCAAAGCAGGCTCAGGGTGGATCACAAAGTCACCACACACACTGAGCACAAGCAAAGGGCCACAAGGCCAGTTCACATGTAGAGGTATGTATGCAACAACAACGGCACAGTGATCTCTACCTAGCAGAGCAAGCATGCAGGTATATATATAGATCACAGTACAAGCAAAGTCTACAGCAAGTGAGGAAACGTGGGCACAAGGCCTAACAAAGTACAAAAACGCTGATGATCACCAGACGGAAGTGCCTTGGTAAATATATCAGCAGTGTTGGCCCGAGTGGCCACGTGAGCAAGACGAAGCTGACCACGCTGCTGCAACTCTCGAGCAAGGAACTAACGCAGAGCGATGTGCTTCGTTCTGTGCTCCAGTCTGGGCTCCTGACACAAGGCAATGGCGGCCTTGTTGTCTACGTACAGAACTGGAGGAGAACGAGGCCGCTCTCCCAGGTCGGTCAGCAGGTAGGTGAGCCAGCGTAGCTCCTGTGCAGCCATGGCTGTGGCGTAGATCTCAGCCTCACAACTGGAGCCGAGAACTGAGGACGAGCGTGTAGACCGCCAAGAAACAGAGCCAGAGCCAAGGCTGAAGGTGTAACCCTGTGACGACTGCTGCGTAGACAGGTCGTCAACCCAAAAAGCGTCCGAGTGCCCAGTGAGGACAACGTCACCCCGTCCTCCAAGCACGAGCCCCATGCCTGATGTACTGCACAAGTAGCGCAGTACCCTCTTAGCGGCATCCATGTGCACCTCTCGGTGCCTACCAGGAGCCACGTAGCGAGCCAGAAGGCCAAGAGGGTACGCAAGGTCAGGACGAGTGCAAGTCATCAGGTACATGAGGCAGCCCACTAGCTCTGGGTAAGGACCACTCGGCTCTACGGACTCGTCCGAAGGTGGAGCTGAGAGCGAGTGACCTGTAGCCAGAGGAGTGGCCTGTGCCGAGGACCAGGTGAAGCCGAAGCGCTGAAGGACCTGCTGCACCATGTGTGACTGAGTCGGTGTGATGGTGCGGCGTGCTCTGTCCCGGGTGATCTGCAAGCCAAGGTAATTGCGCAGCTCACCCAGGTCTGTGCACGTATGTCTCTTCTGCAGCTCCGACTTCACCAGGGCGAGAGCCTCAGTGTCAGCATTGGCAAAGACCAAGTCGTCGACGTACACAAGGATGTAGAACGGCGGCAGCAAAGTGTCGGTGCGCAGAAACAGCGACGGGTCAGCAGTCGAAGGAGAAAACCCGAGAGCCGCAACTGTCGTCCTCAGTGTGTCGTGCCACTCACGCGGCACCTGGCGGAGACCGTAAACTGGCCGCCGAAGGCTCCACTGGGTACCAGGAGGGAACGACCCAGGGAAGCCAAGTGGGCGGCGCAGCCAGATCTCCTCGTGCAGGCTGCCCTATAAGAAAGTTGTGCTGAAGTCAAGAGAGTGAAGCTCGTAGTCACGCTGAGCGGCAACGTGCAGCAGCACCCGAAGAGTGGTCATCTTCGGGGTGGGGGAGAAGGTCTGGAAGAAGTCAACTCCCTCGCGCTGACTGAAGCCTCTAGCAACGTAACGAGCCTTGAAGACAGGCGGAGAACCCGGCGGCCGCTTCACCCTGAAAATCCACATGCCACTGACGATGTTCGCCCCAGGAGGGGGAACCTCGTCAACGTAAGTGCCTGTGGACTTCCAGGATGCCATCTCTGCATCCATGGCTGTCTGCCACTGATAGGAGTACTCACCCGCGATCGCCTCAGCGTAAGAGCGCGGGGTCGGGATGTCTGGAGCATCCGGATCTCCCTCAGGGGCAAGCAGCATGGCCACAGGATGAGGCGCAGCGGCTGCAAGACACTCAATGTCCTCCTGCCTGTCCTCAAGGACGTCCGTGCCAAGAGCACACTCACCCCCGACGGACGGAGGACAGACAGACTCAGACTCAGCAACAAGACTAGCGGCGTAGTCTAGACGACAGGCAGCAGCAAAGTCAACAAGCTCAGCGACTAAGGCAGACGCAGCAGCAGACTCAAACGACGGGTCAGTGACAACAGTGGCTAGCAGACGCGTGACAGTAGGGTGCTCAGCACGAAACCGGTCAGACTCAGGGTCAGCAACGACAGGCAGAGAAGAGGCAGGAGGAGACGGCAGAGGAACACGCTGCGGAGCAGAGGACGGACGCAGAGTCATGAGGTGTGTGCCGGGGACAGCCGGCGGACGCGGACGAGGAACACGACGACCAGTGCGGACAGGCGAGACAGGACGCGACGCAGGCTCACGTCGCTCAGCAAGACCTCCTGGCTGCTCAGTGTAAGGAGAAGGAGCAGGTAGCGGTGAGCCAGGCTGTAACGGAAGACCAGTAGACGACGGGAGACTAAGAACCTGGCGAAGCACGGAGTCAGGTGGTGGCAGAGACGACGGAGACTGCGGAGCAAAGAACAGTCGTGGCTGCG